TAAAAATCTGAAAAAAGTGGGAGTTTGATTCCCCGCAAGAACATTAGTGAGTAATCAAGTTCGAATGAGTACAAAGTGTCAAATGACGTAACAGAAAAACCAAAGTACAAGAAATTACACGTGATTAATTAATCTAAATTTCATGCGATAGCCTCGGTAAGAAACCGGATTAGCAAATAGCAATTTTCTTCTTATATAGGATCAAATCGTTTTTTATATTGCCTTTTCTAATCAAATGAACAAACATGATGAAAGGGCCACGAAATGGCCGACCCAACATCTGACAGTGGAGGAACGTGGGAAAAAACGTCGGGCTCTCTCTCTGTCTCTCTAGAATTGGACAACACAACCAATAAAGTGGGAAGGTAAAAGTGAAAAGAATATTCCTACTGAAGAAAAAATATTATTTTTTTGACTATACTCAAAACTTTATTGCAAAAAAGAGCAAATGACAACATGTTGAGTGTTCGAATCCCGGGTGACGCTACTGAAAAGGGCACTCTTCCTCTCGCAAAAGGTTGAGTGTTCGAATCCCGGGTGCCGCAGGGTGACTTAACCGGTGCACGTGTGTGGTGGCTAGCACGTGTCGCCCCCAGGGTTTACCTCCCGGCTGTCGGTCGTGCGGGGTTCCCTGGGTTATCAAAAAAAAAAAAAAACAACATGTTGTGCCAATAGATGATGCCCTGCCAACTTTTTCTCACGATGAGCGTATATCCAGTGTCAATATACTGCTATTTTCATGTGGGGCCAATCCAAATTCCATAAAAAGTCTATGAACCTGTGCCGAAAGTCCAAAAAGTTTTTAACAATTGTTTCCTAATTTTATATTTCGTCAGTTGATAATGATACTTCTTTTTGCTTGGAATCGTGTTTAATGTTTTTTTATTATTATTTTGTTTCCTTTTGGGATTATGTTAACGATTATTGTTTGAATAATCAATCCCGACTTTACATGAAAATCCCACGACAATAGTCATAGATTGGGGCGAAATTTAGCAGCTACAATGGATTTTGGCTCGCATTCCCAAACCAACATTGAGCAATTTCTATTGCTTGCACTACTATGGATGTAACATGTATATTTTATAGTGTGAGTGACCACTGCACATTAGAAACTTTAAGCTTTAGAAAAGGCGACATCAGAAATTTTAACAAAACTTGTAAGTATATAACTTTTCATTTGAGTTGCAGCTAATACCTAGGAATCCGCAATGGGATGACCACTTTCATTTTCATTTGGTTGCAAGCATAGAACAAAGTAAAGCTATTGGAATCTGGGTAAATTTATTTCAGCTCCTTGAATTAATAACACATGACTAAATAAATATCTGAGCGTCAAGATTTAGCTAAATCACAAATAGAATCCCCACATTAGCCTCGCACTTTCCACAAAGTTACGCATCCATCAAAACCCTAGTCAACAACCTTGTCTCTTCTTCTCTTCGTATGCGGAGTTCTGCAGGGACAGCAAAGTTCATTTCAATCTTATTATACTAAAATTATCCAAGGCAAGATAACCGATAAATTGCACTACGAATCATGTATCGTATGTAGGGAATGCGATTGAGTTCAACATTTTTCAATTGGTTCAATCAAGCTCTATACCTTAAAATTTCAATCGAGACCCAAACCTTTCAATTAATTCAATCAAGTCATAAACTTTTATAGTAAAGTACAAATAAGTCGTAAAATTAAGTTAAAATGTGCACTTTAAATATGCCGCATAAGCACTTTTGGATGATTCATATAGGCAATTTAGGTACTTTTCATTAATAGGACATGTTTGCACTTTTTAAGAGAAATTTTAGGATTTAATTGAACCACTTGAGTGATTTAAGACTTGCATTCCATACACAAGGCTTATGACTTCCCGTGCACTTTTCACTTGCAAAGTATATAGTAAGATCTCTTGATTAACTTACTCATGGTATTACCCACCTTGACTTGAGCATGCTTACTATTGAAATTTGCATAACAAACGATAACGTGACACCCAAAGCACCTCTTATGAGTAGGTTCAATTTATAATTTGTTACTTTAAATGCTCTCTCCTTGTTCGGTCTAAACTTTATTCCATTCCCGTTTCTTGTGCTATTCTAGAAACTTGCCACGAGTCCCAACTTGTCGAATCTCTTGACCCCGATGACCACTCTCTGCGCTCATTAGGTTGGGTCTTAATGATCTCGTGTATTCCTCTCCCCATTGGCTAAGTTTGTAAAAGAAGCATTCAAAGTGACAAATCGAGATTGTGATCATTTGATAGAGGGTCTCACTTATGAATAATTTAGAAAAATTATCAATTTAGTCTTAAATCTATTGTACAGTTTTTAATGTGGTTCAAATTTTCAATTATTCCAATGTAAATTCTAAATCTTAGAGGAAAAGTTCAATGTAATCCTCCCGACGAAGACTCACTTGAAATTGTTGATATTACGGTCTAGTTATTGCCAGCTAATCAGCGATTCAACGTGAACAATTTCACTAAAAAACGATGCCATTTTACTTATTTTGTTTCTTTTTGTCCTCTACTGTTCGTCTTCAATCTCCAGAGCAGACGAGCCAGATCTGGGTTGATCCAGTCCGCCAGCTTCCAAGCTGGGCCGCTCCGCTCTAGCATCTCCTTAATCTCGTCCATCGAACCCTCAGTGACGAGCTAAACAGATCTGGGCCTTGAGCTCCATGCCGTCGATGCCGCGAAGAAGCTCAAGCCAGGGCTCGAGTTCGACCCTGCGGCAGAGGTCGAGCTACCAAATCTGGGTCTCGAGCTCAACTCTGGTCGAATTAAAGAGATCAGAGACCAGTTTACAAAGAGGGGTAGAGAGAGGGGGATTGCAGAGGCCAACATCTTGAAAGATCAATCGGTGTGAGATCTCTATCAGATCGCCTTCTCTCCCTCGAACTGAAGTATTTTTGTTGTCTCCATTAGATATGAATGGGAAGGACAATGTCTGGAAGGAGCCAACGCGCACCACAGAAAGCTTCAGCGTAGTTTTACTCGTTTACGGGAAAATGATACAAATGGTCCTGAATTTTAGCCTAATATGCAATGTGAATCATGAACTTTAGCTCAACGTAGTTCCTGAACTTTTAATTTATTCAATGTGGTCCCTGAACTTTTGGTACCTGTTTAAACTAGTCCTTGGACTATATGAAAATGTTCAATATTGTCTCTGAACTTAAATTAATGAAAGATTAATATTGAATATTTTCATATAGTTTAAGGACTAGTTTGAACATATATCAAAAGTTCAGGAAACACATTGAATAAATTAAAAGTTCATAAATCACGTTACATTTTGGGCCAAAATTCATGGACTATTCGTGTCATTATCTCCTCATTTATCGCTTTGACCGCTCTAGGGGTTATCCAAAATTTCATGTGTTGACTCAAGATGATTGTGCTGTTCAATCGTCATGACGTCGTCCGCCTTGGGTTTTATCTTATGCCTCTCCATTTAGCTGACATGATTCTTGCACCACTAAATTGAAGGCTTTGATTTGTGCCTTAAGAATTACGGACAATTAGTTGGAGTTATTGGCATGTCTGCTGCCCAGACCATCCAGGTTTTTCCATTGACTCAAAAGAGTTTTACTTTGAGTAAAGAAAAACAGAGAAAAGGAAAAAAAAAAAACAGAGGACAAAAAAGGAAGGTGAACAGTACCAATTCATAAGATGACCAGAAATCAGGAGAAACGAAAAGAAAGAAAAAAGAAAAAAATCAGAAAAATCAAAATATTTAAAACATCTCAACGTCAAATCGCTAATCGTGCCATGTAGTACAGTCAGCAGTGCCTGAACCATCATGTCAAAACTTTCAAGTTAAAATTGACCAAAAATATTACATCAAATTTTCCCATGAAAATTTAGGACTATATTAGGATAATTTCAAAAGTTTATGACTACGTTCTAATTCATGTGATAAGTTTAGTACTATTTTTTTTCCTCCCATTATAACGTGTAAAACAAAACTAGTAAAGTAATAAATATTCACGTGAAGTATGATATGCACATGAGGTGAATTCCTAAAAAACCCTCCAACTTTAGGTCAAGTTTTAAATTTGCCCCGAACTTTTTTTGTCTCGGAAAAAACCCCAAACTTTAGGTCTAATCTCAAATCCGCCCCGAACTTTTTTTTGTCTCAGAAAAAAATCCCAAACTTTAACTTCAGTCCTAAATCTACCTCGAATTTTGTTTTGTGTAAAAAAAACATACCATGTGATCTAGTCCCAACATGACGTGGCACTTCCATGTAGATAACAAACCCACATCAGCAAAGTAATGAGGCGATAGGTACTGGCTGACATCGCATTTCTACTTCGATAACAAATCCAACCCAATAAAAATTATTGAAATTCTCTAAAATAAAATTATTCTAGGATATGAAAGTTAGGGACGATAACAAATCCACCCCAAAAACCTTTTTTTTAATTTAAAAAAATCCAATTTTTAGGTTCAATCCAAATTTATCCCAAACTTTTCTTTGTCTAAAAGAAAGCCCCATTACTTTGTTGATGTGGATTTGTTATCAACGTAGATGTGCCACGTCAAGTTGGGACTGGATCACGAGGGTATATTTTTGAAAATAAATTGAATTTTGGTGATTTTTTGTGCACAAAACAAAATTTGGGACGGATTTAGGACTAGACTTAAAGTTTGCGATTTTTTCTAAGACAAAAAAGGTTCGGGACAAATTTGAAACTGGATCTAAAGTTTTGGATTTTTTCTAAGACAAAAAAAAGTTCGGGGTAAATTTGGGATTCGACCTAAATTTGGGATTTTTTAGGAAATTAGGCCTATACAAACGTCATTGAACGGCCATTATAGAGTCGTGACAAGGCATCTTTAGCTGTAACGTACATGGATTAACAATAAACAATTAGCAATATATGATATACATTTTATGATAGTTGTCCATATCCCTTCACCAATAATTAGCAACCTACAGTGTTTTTTATATTCAGGTCGTTCCCATCATTGACGGGGAATCGTTGTTTTTATATGGGATTAATGTTAATCTGACATGTAGACAGGGAGACACTCTTCTTTAGACCATCAGGCTCTCAAGCCAAATAGCCAAGAATCAATTTCCTCCAGCTTTTTGGCCCATTCCCTCCGTCGGAAAGACATGGCAGAATCACTCCTTTCCGGCATCGCGGAGGGGGTGCTTGGGAAGATAGCCTCCCGCGCCCTCCAAGAAGCCGTCGCGATTTATGGTGTTGAGAACCAGATTAGCGAGCTCAGAGAGACGCTGACTGCCATCAAGGCAGTGTTGCTGGATGCGGAGGAGCAGCAGGCAAAGAACCACCGCTTGCAAGTGTGGTTAGATCGGCTTCGAGATGTGTTATACGATGCGGAGGACGTGCTAGATCAAGTCGAGTGCGAAGCCTTAAGGAAGCAGGTGATAAGTCGCTACGGGGGCACCAAAGAGAAGGTATGCCGCTTCTTTACCCTCTCTAATCCACTAATCCTCCGTGCAAAACTCAGTGATAAGGTCAAGGAGATACGTGAGAGATTGTCCAGAATTTCCACTGAGAAAGATCAATTTGATCTTAATGTACAAAGTGCTGGCAATGATGTGGCACATACCCGATCAAGAGAGATGACTTACTCATTCGTAAACAAGTCGGATGTCGTTGGAAGAAATATTGATAAAAAAAAGATAATCAAGATGTTGCGGCAAGTAGATGACAAAAACCTCTCAGTGATTCCTATTGTTGGATTAGGAGGTTTGGGCAAGACGACTCTGGCTAAATTAGTGTACAATGACGATAGTGTGAAGGAGCAATTTGAGATACGAATATGGGTGTGTGTACCTGAGGACTTCGATTTAAGGACAATTGTTGAGGAAATCATTAAAGATTCAACTCATCAAAGTTTGAGTAACTTTGGTATTCAGCAGTTGCAAACTCTTGGTATTCAGCAGTTGCAGACTCATTTGCAAAACACCATCAAAGACAAGAAATATCTACTTGTCTTGGATGACGTATGGAGCAACGATCGCTGTAAATGGAAAGAATTGAGGGATTTGCTAAGTGTAGGAGATAGTGAAAGCAAGATCATTGTGACGACACGTAATTCAGAAGTCGCTTCTATAATGGGTAGTCATCCGGCGTATAATCTAAAAGGTCTTTCTCATGATGACTCTATGGCCTTGTTCAAAAGGTGGGCATTTGATGAAAAGGAAAAGCAACCGCGTCATGATCTCCTTAAGATTGGAAATGACATTGTTAAAAAATCCCGAGGAGTACCTCTCCTTGTCAAGACATTGGGGAGTCTACTTTACACAAAGGATGAAGCACAGTATTGGGAGCATATAAGGGATAGTGAAACATGGGATCTAGTAGAAGCGAAAAAGGACATTATGCCGGTACTTAAGCTTAGCTATGATCATTTACCATCTCACTTAAAACGATGTTTTTTAGTTTTATCACTTTTCCCCAGAGGACATGAAATCAACAGCACTAATTTGGCTGAATTATGGATGGCTCTTGGACTCATTAGTCCAACAAGGAACAAACTAGGATTGAAAGACGTTGGTGTTGAGTACGTCAAAGAGTTGTGGAAGAGATCTTTGATCCAAGAAGTGGAGGAGTTGGACTCAAAGTTTATATTTAAAGTGCACGATCTGGTCCATTCTCTTGCAATGAGTGTGGCACACAATGAGTATTTTATTGTTGGCTTAGATACGGCAGAGATTTCAGAAGGAATTCGGTACGTTTCGCTCTCTAGCACTTCGTTAGAGGGAATCTCAAACTTCACCGGAGTCCCACCTTTTTTGAGAAAGCCAACTTCAAAGAGGCTGAGGACAATCTTTTTTCAATACAAAGTTGGCAATGGTGTTATTACTAAAGAGTTTGCTAGAATATGCATCTCAAAGTGTAACTCCTTACGGCATCTGGATTTGTCAAGTGGTAGTTTTGAGGAGCTGCCAAGTTCCATATGCAACTTGAAGCAATTGAGATCACTACTTCTCAACGACAATAAGCGATTGAAGAAAGTTCCAGACACCATTTGTGAGTTGCATAGTTTGCTAACCTTAAGTTTTAATGGGTGCTTAGAGCTAGCCCATTTACCAAAGAATATGCAAAGGCTCGTCAATCTTACGTATCTATATGTAACAACAAAGCAGAAGAGTTTGCAAGAAAATGGAATACAATACTTGGAAAATTTGCACTTTTTGGGACTCGATGGATGCGAAAATCTCGAAGTTTTGTTCGAAGGTACTTGCCAACCGACTAGCCTTCGGAAGTTGGAAATTGTGAATTGTGGGAGACCCATATATGTGCCTTTTGGAGCATTAATTGCCCTAGAGTTCTTGGCAATTATTGACTCCCATCTCATGTTTACCCAGGAGTCCAATTTTCCGTTGAATCTTCATGCACTTGCAATAAAAAATTCCGAACAAGTAATGGAGCTGCTCCAATGTCTCGAAGGATCGGCTTGCACTTTGGAGACCTTTTCTGTCTATGACTGCCCGAGCTTGACGTCTATACCTGAATGGCTACCCAATCATACTTGCCTCAGATTAATTCGCTTAATCGGATGTCCCAACTTATCGTCCATGCCGCAAAGAACCCGGTCCCTTAGTGCCCTAAAAGAACTGCACATCATACATTGTGGTGAACTGAGCAAAAGATGTAAGCCCCAAATCGGCAAGGACTGGCACAAAATTGCTCACATTCCTCGAATCAAACTTGATCGGAAACGAGTACGATGGACAGATGATTAGGTACGCATCTATTTGCTCCTCCCTTCATTTCTTCTTCGTTGTTAAATGTAAGAATAACCATATATATTGAGAGCCCCTCCTTACAAATATTTTTCCTGACTTCCTCACTTGAATAAACTAGGATAAGGGAACAATGCAGTATGCTCATTCATGTGGCACATTGAAAGTAAAACTTGATTCCCTCCGATGGAATCTCGTATTCTCCTTTTACTTGGAAAGTGATTATCATTGCAGAAGGCTGAAGCTATCAATTAATTGGAAATTTTAATTCATCCGTATATGAAGTTGAAAGGACATCATACATTCATACTCAATCATGATATTATCATCGGTGGTCGTTGTTCAAATTACACCTGAACTCACTTTATGGTCACCTAATTTCATTTCCCCAATACATAAAAAAGCTGCTCTAGCCAAAGTTGATAGTTTGAATATAATTTATCAAATAAATCTGTTGCAAGTGTCCTAAAAGGACTAGTTAGGTTCATTAACTATATCGAAAAGAAATCGTGAAATTTTTGGAAATTTATTGAAGAAAATGCACTTGAGTACTTGCTTATGTTATTTTGAGTCTATACGTTTAATTCGAAAACAGTTTCCTTCATTTCAATTTGACAATTTTTTTGAAAAATCAAATGCATTTTCGCAATATTTTTTCATTCTTACATGGAAAAGTAAATAAAAATTTTGGAAACTTTGAGGCACCAGATAAGGCCTTAAATTTTCGAAACGCATTCAGCGGAGCTCTATAAGTACTTAGGAACATTTTTCAGTTTCTTTTTCCCAATAAATAAACCATGTCATATGGACCCAATATTATTAATATATAGTAAATTGAAAGCTTTGCAGTCTTCCTTCAAGCATTGCAGGTTCTCAACCAAACTTTTAGGACTTGTTTTATTTCCCATTAAGCAAAAGTAAAACGTAAATTTTTGCTTTTTCACTAAACTTTAAAATATTATTCGAATTTCAGAAAATTATGAGAATATTATACGTGAATCTACTTGCCGACATTTTAAACTTTATCAAAGTTTCAGGTGTTTTTTATTAACAAAAAGCGTTAATGTCTGTGTCATAGGTTTTTAGATTAGGGCTATATGTAGACTCTCCATTTTGATGTAACCTAATAATAGTAAATTAAGATTCATTATTTGAGTACCATTAGCACACTGTTTAAAAATAACATAAACCATCAAACAGGTAAGCGCTTACCCATAGTGTGTAACATATAAAAAGTATGGTTTCCACATGTTATTTTGGATATTTGTCCCTTTGAGTGATGATATTATTTTTAAAGAAAAAGAAATTCAGAAACAAGAACACCAAAATTTACACTCATTTTTATACAAAACAATAACTCCTACATCGGTTTTTATTGAAAGAAATTGTACGCACATATCTTGGTAAATAGAATATCTAAGAATGACCAATTCGCATGGCACCACAATAATTGCCATAATACTGTGTTATAGATACTCCAACCTCATTTCCTCTTTTTCTTCTTGTGAGTGCAGGTGAACTCCCATGATCTCTTTGCCATGTCATGTGGATCACCGCAAACAATTGTATGTGCACTCATCTAATCATTCGCCAATCTCTTTAATTTTCAGGAGGAAACCATGGCCACTGATGTTGTACTCTTTTCTTTCCTTGAATCAGTGTTGTTCTTTATGATTTGCTTGTGTTTGTATTACAAATTTCTCAATGGAGAAAATACCTTATTCGTATTGTATAAGGCCAACTGGAGCATTATCTATATGTGAATTTCCTCAGAACATTATTTATCTTTCATTCATGGATAGTGTATGAGATCACGACACATCACCAAATCTTGTTTTTGGTAAATTAGAGGCAGTTACTCAATCTTTTTATAATTTTCCTCTAGATTATTAAAGAGTTTCCTCGAAACTATGCATTTGAAAAACCACATTGATTTTCCCCTTTTTTTTAATTTGTCCTACTTCACTTCTAAATAGGAGGATTACTTTGCCCATTTTGCTGTTAAGACCGGATCTTATGAAAAATTAATGCACAAATTGCATGAACAATATAAGTTTATGTTATCTGCTCAATGCCTTTGTCGGTTTTAGTCTCCCAAGTACATTCGTTTGAACTCGATATTATATATGCTATAGTTCCTCAAAAGTTCAACACCTCCTCAATCGATTTGATAACTACACTAGAGCGCACGGTACTGCCCAAATTGGACATTATGAAGAAGAGAGTGAGGTCGAGGGGGCTCAGTCCACAAATTTAGCCAAGTTGGGATCCTTCGAAGCTGAAATCGTTTTTCAGCCTGAAAGTAGGAAACAAAAGGATAACCATTAACTCATATATGTCCTAGAAGAACCAATGGTTTAATGTTCTGTCAATTGCTTATGAAATAGAATGATCCTTTCAATTGGATTGCTTTTAGTATAGCCATTATGATCACCTGCCAAAGACCAGAATTTATCGGCATTCGTCGTCTCGGTTCATGATGCTCTCTTTCCAATGGCAAGAAAATAAAAAAGACCAAAACTGATCCTTTTCGGCATAAGTTCAGTATTAAGGTGTGAGATGTTATGATCAATCTATGGCAAGTCTAATTCCATCTCTTAAGAGCCCATATTTCAGTTGCAGAAGCACCAGCTCTCTCTGTGTTTTTGGACAAACCGGCTATCCAATTTCCACGATGATCTCTCTGGACTCGTCCGCCCCTGACATTATCCATTTTTCACAGATATAGCACCATCAATATTGAGCTTTATCCGCCCCTGGTCAGGTTTCTTCCTAACAACTGCGAAAAACTCCCCTGCTTTAGACAGACAGAGATGTTAGTTACGGAAGTCCCCTAGGAGACATCACTTCCCACGGAATCTGAGGTCTTTAAAACCGAACCTTGCTTCGGATGCTGTCGCGAATTTACCTCCTAGCGTCCTTGCTGAAGGAACTGTTTGTGATGATGTTGGGGACCCCCAAATCACGCCAGAATTTCCTTTGCAATTGGTGGCAAAAAACGAAGATGATGGTCTATGATGGTCTTAGGGGTTCTTGACCCCATCTTACACGAGCGGCAGGAACATTCACACCTTCCGAAGCGGGGATGTGATTCACTGCTATGCTATTATGCAGACATTGCCACTCCCTGTTCCGCTTCCCGATGTCGGGGTCCCCTCCCGCAGCAATTTCTTAAGCCGAGTGTAAACAAATAGGATTTTTCATCTTCAGGGTGGACTTCTATAGGTCCCGATATTTATATCTTTAACATTATTGAAAGGCAGCCAACAAGTGGTAGACCCTTAAAGCAATTTTGGGTCATAATCAATCTAATTCGATTAGGCGGACTTATCGTTTGTACACGCAGGGAGGCATTTCGGTGAGGAACTTGACCGCGAGCGTCGTGATTGTTGAGGCAGACTCGTAGCCAGCGACGAGTAGAGCCACCAGGAAGTACACGGTCTCCTCATCGGAGAATCCGTTGTCCCAACTAGCAGAATCCCCGACATGTCCTCTTCTTGCTTATTTTGGATTGGGTAACAAATTATGACAAAAAAAAAAACAATAAGACAATTTCTCAACCAGTGACGCACCACGACTAAGAACTCACTAGCTTCGTCGTGGACCGATGCATGGATAGACTAGGTGCAATATTCGCATTCGAAAAAATAAAACAATGTTTACTTGCTAACAGCTAATTGCAATATTATTCTCATAGATCAATCAATCACTCTGTGTAATGGTACTAGATCTGTTAATAAATCTACTCGTCTCTTTTCCCACGGTAGAACCACTCAATGCATGAACCGACGGATCTCAGCAATCATGTCGTTTTATCGAATGAAAACTGTTGTTGCCTGCTTCATAATCACCTTACATCTCTGGATGTGTGGAACTGGAGGTTTCATCTAAAGCCCAAACGAGCCTACAAGAAAGAGTAATGAGTAATGACTTGCGGTGTTCTCCATTCTCTTTCTGTTGCTGATGGCTGCGTGAATCTGTTCAAGAGTCTTCCCTTTCGTTTCGGGGACCACCGCGATCACGAGCGCCCTACACCGCGTGGCACTAATGCCGCATAGAGAATGCAGGCAACTGTGAAATAAGCCCATGAAGTCATGTGTTTCTTGACAAATTTTTTGGATGCATATCAACATTTTTCTCATGGGAAGAAAACTTCAGTATTTGCTTCCTATCTATTAACCATACTTCATAAAAGCCCACTTAAGATACTCGAATGTAGGTACAAGTGCTGTAAAGCATTGATCGAAATATGTGGTCTGAATCTGCGTTCGAGAACGTGAAGAACCAAGTGATGGACACCTCCAATGAAGTGTGTAGGAAAAGCTATGTGCCAAAGCGTGTAATTCAGTCGAGGTCGCGCAAAGAATCGCATTCCAATGTCACAAAGTGTTTGTCGTGTTCCTGCCAGAATAATAGAAACAAGTGATTTGCAACTGATTAGGAAAATATTCTACCATAATGTGACGAAAAGTAGTTTGTTGCTTGGGCCAATATTGCGGATACGAGGTCAACCACTTAGAAAGATCTAAATTAGATAAAAATAAATAAATCGATAAGTTACCTCTAGAAGATGAAACGATCTACGATGACGCAATTGAAATCAGTGGCTGTATTTCTACCAAAATTATAGAACCCGTGGGTCGTACGAAAAAGTATATGGAGAAGTAATCAAGATGACTTTTGAAAACAGATCAATCAAAAGAATCGATATCCCAACTAGAAACAATCACAAATTTCCAAACAAGGTACAAGGCTCGAATTGAATGCAAAAGTCAAGTTTACCAACTTACTAAAAGATCGAATATAACACTCATTCGCACGCAGCCATGAACACATTTTGTTGAAACCTAACCAAATTTCATGGCAGCATGGAAAACAGAAAGCAGAAGAACACCATGTAACATGACATAGATAGTAGTTATCAACTGAGTAAGCAGAAGACTGGTATTTACAAGTAAAGCAATACAATTCTAGAGAAAATTTCTAAACCTAACGGCAACTTGAAGAATAAGAATCAATCGGACCCCGCGCATTTGCCACCCTAAGGACATCTGCAGTTCATAATTACCAAGGGAAAAGTGTCAAAAAATTCCTAAACTTTTACATTAATGCCAATTTAGTCATAAACCTTTTTTTGGTGTCAATTCAGTCCTAAACATTTTGCATTGGTGCCAATACAGTCATAAACTTTTTATATTGGCGTCAATTCAGTCCTAAACGTTTTCTTTTTGTGTCAATTCAGTCCTTCCGACCAATTTTGGCTGGAAGGACTGAATTGGCACCATAAAAAGGTTTAGAACTGAATTGACACTAATGCAAAAGGTTTATGACTGAATTAGGACAAAAAAAAGGTTTATGACTAAATTGACACCAATACAAAAGGTTTATGACTTTTTTGGCACTTTTTCCTAATTACCGAGAATACTAAATGGCCTGTTACATAGATAACAAATGTAGTTCATGTCTAGAAACAGCAAAAAAATATTGGGATATGTTCACTAAAAGTCCTAAAACTTGTCACCAAAGTACAATTGAGTCCTAAAACTTGCAAAAAGTGCAATCAAGTCCTAAAAATTGTCAAATTGATTCAAATGAGTCCTAAAGTTAACACTGTCAAACTTACTAACGGAAAATGCGTACTGACGTGATTTATTTCAAAATTTTCTCTCTCCTACGTGGTGATGATGTAAAATGCTGACGTGGTGCTAACATGGTTTATTTTAAAATTTTCTCTCTCCTACGTGGCGATGACGTGACTAAAACGACGTCGTTTTGGCCAAAATTTGACTTTTAATACTAATTTTATTTAAATTTAAAAAAAAACAAAAAAAGGAGGAAGAGGACGCCGCCCCACCACCGCCGAGAGAGGCCGGTGAGGGTCGGGGGACAGCAGGCCAGGTCGCCGGACCTCAGCCCGGGGCCAGCGACCCTCGCCCAAATCGGGGCGAGGAGTCGAGGCCCTCCCCCAAATCGGGTGAGGGTTGTCGTCCCTCACCCAAACCTGGCCGAGGGTCACCAGTGGTGGCCAACCCCTACTAGTGGCGACCCTCCCCCAAATCTAGCGGGGGTCGGCTAGGTCTGGGCGAGGGCCAGCGGCCCTCACTCAATCTAGGGGAGGGCTCGCAGGCCCTCGCCTGCCATTGGCGAGGGTCGCTGGCCCCTGGCCGAGAACCAGCAACCCCCGCCTGCTATTGCCCCACCCTCGCCAGCCCCTCTCGGTGATGATGGGGCGGCGGCAGGGAGGGTCAACCCTCCCTCCCCAACTGTCCTCCTCTTCCTTTTTTTTAAATTTTTTTAATTTTAGCTTATTTTTAAATTTAATTTAAATAAAATTAATATTTAAATAATGATTGAAAAAAAGCCACATCATTGTCACGTGCAATATAAAAAAAATCAAGTTTTAGAACTCAATTACATTTTTGTAATAAGTTTTAGGATTTCTAGTTAACATATCCAAAAAATGTTTGGTTTGCCCAAAATGGAAAGATGCGTGTGATGGAGAACTCTCCGACTTTCAACCTCTTTCCATGCAAAATATCACCTGTTCATCCCTGCACGTTTCCTCCTCCTCTCTCTCTCTCTCTCCGGGAAGGAGCAGCGCGCTAGTGTACCTCCGCACCCGGTGATGTTCGACTGTGGAGATACAACACCCCTACCATCTCCCAAATCGGAAACCGACGAGATGACGGATCTTTCGGAAGAGCTGGGTTCGCTTGGTGAAGTCGGTCGTCCTTCTGCAACCAAGGTAAGTTACAGGCGGCGGTAGAAAGGTTAGGAGAACATATCTGATCCTGT